GAGGGAGGAGGGGAGGGAGAGGGAGAGGAGTCAAGTCTCACCATCCATGGGCACTTGTCATCTGTGGGCATGGGCACTCATTGTTCATGGGTGTTCATTTTTGTGTGAGGTTGTTGGAGGTCATTGTGCCACCTGTTGTTGTTGTTGAGTGTTGTTGTTGCCTGTCACCTGTCTGTGTGCCTAATTAACGTGAGTGGGTGATGACATGGCATTGGGGTGGACATGCTTACCTTTGGCAGGGTGGTGACTGGTGGCTACCACTTTAAATCCCAAGTTTTTCTCTTAAATATAGGACCCCAGACACCCCTTGTGGCTGAAGAAACATATCCTTAGTCAACCCTAGCTGCAAAATATATCCCAAGTCCATCCCAGACAAGAAATATATTTCTACATTGTGACAGTCACAATTCAGGTCCAGGCATAAGAAATATATTTGGAGTCCATTCCAGTAAGGAATATATTTAGGTAAAAGTGGAGATATATAAGCCCCAGAATATATACAATATAGATATACACCCTGACATTTAGTCCCATAGTATTCATGGTGTTTGCAAAACTAATAGTCAGTTGTCAGTGGGTGACTAAAGTGATTTTATGCTAAAAATTATATGTTTCCAAAATTTAACCGCTCAGTATTTTTAACTAATTCTTTGATAGGCTCATTCAGGTTGACCAGAGGTATGTTCTAGCTACCTCCCCAGTTAGCGCATATTTTTTTTTTCAGATGCCAAAAATGGCCTCCAGAATAAAAACCTTCTCAAGGCTCCAGCTTTCACTGAAATTAGTCCATACCAAGGGAAGTGTAACACAACTACATAATGTAAAAGAATACACAAATACATTTGAGGTACAATAGATTCTTAGAAAGAACCAGAAAAATGAACCAACCTTCATTCTTTTTGCACTCAACTGTATATTACAAAATGCATACAAACCATGTATATGGTACCTCAATATTCCTGACAATAGTCTATTATTTTTCTCTTTTTTCTGTAATTTTATAGCTATATTTCCATTATAGACTATATTTGGAAATATGCACAGACCAAGTAAACAGTACACAGTCGACCTTCTGGAGGGTGAAAATGCCCTGAGTGACTGTCAGGATACTGAACACGTGGTTCATATCTTGTTTTCGAGAAAGCTACTGATGAGGTGACATGGTTGAGACCAATTTTACACTCCAAGTCCCAAAGCCTGTGCTCACATCAATGTCTACTTCTCGGAAACACAAAACATCAAGCCTCGCAGGTCTCTAATAAAATAGGATGGTCTGGAAAAAATGGGCTGGTTTTGACTTGTCAACTACTTATTACAATTATGTATCACCTTTGGACTCTTCATCTGAATCATCAGTGAAGGAAGCATAGTCAGATCCATCACCATCATGATTAGATGGGCCAACAACTTGATCACCCTGCCAAAGTTCCTTCAGACCTTCAATGAGTGGAATTAAATCCTGCTCAACCTCCTGTGTTTGTGTGTGTTGTGAAGAAATGAGAGAGGCCATTGCCTCATCATGATCAGTCTCCAAATCTTGATGGAAACAATAGGATAATTGGCGGTACATGTCCCAGAATGTACAAAAAGTGATCACAGGAGACCCAATGTTCATGGAATAAAGGTGGTGTGAGCTGAAAGACTGGGTGGTCAGGAGGGGAAAATTCTGCTTCAAGATGGTCAATGAGCTCTGTTAGAATGGGAATCTAATTTGATGCTATGTAAAGAAAGCAAACAAATGAATATGACAATTACCTTGAAATCAAGAGCTCCAAACTGCTCTGGCTTCTCACAGCTTAGTTCGGGAATCCCATGAGGCAAGACCTTCTTGGTGTTGGCATGAGGAGGAGTTCGATTGTGAACGATGACCCATTTGTCAAATTCACTTTGGAGCCACAGAATAGCAAGCCAACAAAACACCAAACTGAGTAATGAAGATGAAATGGGCCATGGCTGAATGATCATACAAAATAAGGCACTCACTTGTCAAGTACATCGTCAACATTATAATATCCAGCATTGACACCAGATTCAAATAGATCCTTGTAACTAGGAGCAAAGTCATGCTGAAAGACAGACCAGTTCGCCTCCAATTTGACATTGATTTTTTGGAACTGGCAGATTAGAAATATCAACTGCTAAATTAAGTAGACAATAGTAAATTAAATGTGTAATGTAAA